ATGCATTAAATAGCAAGAATATTTTGATAACAAAATGCTGTGAAGCGTTCTGGACAGGTTTGGAAAGTAGAGGTAAGACTTTCGGTTCACAAAAGGCCAGATCTTGAAGAAAGCCTAAGGAGGCGAAGCATGACTACAGCATCAGAGGTCAGGAACTGTAACTGAGTAACAGTTTGATTGAAAGATCCTAAATAAAATGGAAGGGAGAATGAATATGGAAAAGCAACTATAGTTAATTAGTATTCCTATAAGGAGTTTTTGGCAGAGGCAAGGGTTTCTTGTTTGTCATTGTTGTGTTTATCAAACATTGTATGAAAAAATACAAATATGTGACAGACTTAAATTGTGAGATAAGGTAGTGAAAAGCAGACATGTGGGATCACACTCTCTTGTGCCGCGACCAAGGGTTAAGATGCTGTAATGTAGGGAGTTCACTGGATGAAGTGGCAAGCCTCAAATGATTCCTACCTCTTCTCCAAAGCACCTCAGTCAAAGCTCATCAATCACACTGTGTGTTTGGTGTCTGGTTCTTATACTGTAGAATATAATGAGCATACTCTCTAGGCATGAAGTTGCAGATTAATAAAGAAATGTGTGAGGGGATGAGAAAGGAGAACAGATAGAAGGAAGAAATTCAGAGTTCCAATTCACATAAAGATAAGTGCAATCAGTGCACACTGGTGGGGTGACAGTAGTAGAGATGCAAGCATTCTGTAAAATAGCCAAACAGAAATAGCCCTCATACTGAGGCCAAACCATCTGTTATTTTTGTTATATACCTTATACTTTCGGCTTACATTTTTGGCCTTAATTTCCTTATTTTCAAAAACTTCATTAATTTCCTAACCATTTCATTTCATGATTGTCTTTCCACCACTGAATTCCACCCTTGGGAGTTCCTGGAAACAGGAGCATGTATCTCAGTTCTTTATTCTCGGCCCCTAGATCATTGCCTGCTATACACAGTTAATCGGTGAGAAAGGACTGTGAATGGTAGGAAATGCCACTTGGGAAGGCATTGGGATGTGAATGAGAAATTAAAGACTTTTTTGTAAAAGATATGGAAACACTTTGGACAAAACAGAACTTGATAAGAACCAAAGGATTACCTATTTATTATCATATATATTTAACACAAATATTCAATACTATACACATTCAGGTGTGTGTGCAAAACAGATGGTTTAAGATCCCCAAAATGACTACCAGTATTAATTTAACTCCAGCATGCACTTGTTAGTTCATCCATGTTTCATTTCTTCTTACTAGGATGAAACAATCATGCCTTTCAATTTTTGAAGAAGTGAGAAATGGAACTTAAGTCTTTAGGAAAGTGAAAGACAGCCTTGAAACTGTCTGCAATGGGGTAAGGAAGGGACATTAGCAGAAGGAGAGGTCATGTGCTTTCCCCTCTGAAGCTAAACTGCAGGAAGAAATTACTGGCCGCGTTCCTTGATTAAGTTTCATCACTGCCGTCAGTATGTGGCCTATCTTTACCCACTTATCTCCTGAGTTCTCCCGCTTGAATCAAGAATTTTCCCCTGTGATAATATCTAATTGATACTGATTAATCTGTCTTCTTGAGCAACCGTTCATGGTGAATGAAGGTTTCAGACCTTCACACATTTGATCCTAAACACTAAACTCCTTCCTTTCCAAAGTTAGAAGGGCAGGGAGCATCTATGCTTGGGCTAAGAAAATTTGCTCTTTATACTAACACAGGCCAAAACTGACACATCAGCCTGCAAAAATGTATGTGCTCCAATATCTTGAGGCTCTTTTACCTATATCTCTCAACCTCATTGCTGACATTAGGCATAAAACTAAAACATTACCCACCAAACACTGTGGTATCTGTCTCCATTGTAATTCCATTTTAGCATTGTCAGGAAGAGTTATTTAGCAAAATCAAACATATGCTTGGGAACAGCCTATTACACCTTACACACCCCTCTACTTGGTTTTTCATGTCTACTGAATTCCAGTAGCCCAGGGCCAAGAATATAAATTGCTTGAAGTGTTACTTTGTTTTTAACTGTCCAGATTCATTTCACTGTTCATCTTCTTCAAGTTACATCATCATGTAATAATGCCTTTATCAATAGTTCTTCTATCTAGCAGGGTGTTCAATAATTTTGTGTCCCAATATGACTAATGACAAAATACGAGAGTACCAACCATATTAAAGCCAATGAGAATTGTTGAAAATTACTATGAACATACTTTTTTTTTTTGAAGACAGGGTGCTTGCTTTGTCATCTAGCGCTGAAAGTGCAGTTGCGCCCAAACATAGCTTACTGTAACCTCAACTCTGGGCTCAGGCAATCATCCCACCTTAGCCTCCCAAAGTAGGGAGCTAAGGACCTAAGGCATGCATCACCATGCCAGCTAATTTTAAATTTTTTGTAGAGATGGAGGTCTCACATATGTTGCCAGATTGGGTCTCAAAACTTTGATCACTCAGGTGTCCTCCTGCTCACCCTTCCCAAAGTGCTGGGAGATTACGGTATGACCACTGTGTTCCAGCTCAACATAATTTTTGATTCCATAAATTTTTATATAAGTTCTCGACTTTAAAATATCCATAAATAATATTGGTCAAAAGTTACAAATAGCACCAGAAACCACAAAGTAATATTAAAATATCCAGCTTAATAAACAGTCTTTTTAAAATTTTGCAAAGCAAAAATTGATTGTTTATAAGAATATTCAAATTTTTGATTTTTTGGAGTCAAATTGAACATACACTGGGGGGAAAGAATCCTTATTCAATAAATGGTGCTGGGAAAACTGTATAGCCCACATGTAGAGACTGAAACAGGACCCACACTTTCACCTCTTAACAAAAATCAACTCTTGCTGGTAACAGACTTGAACATTAGGGTTGTGAACTATAGAATTCTAGAGGAAAACGTTGGAAATACTCTTCTAGACATTGGCCTAGGCAAAGAATTTTATAAGAAGACCCAAAGGGCATCACAGCAGCAACAAAAATAAATAATGGGACCTGATCAAATTTAAAAAACTTCTGCACAGACAAAGAAACTGGTCAAGGGGAGCAAACAGACAACCCACGAGATGGAGAAAATTTGCAAGCTAACACCCAATAAGGCTGGATAACTAGAATCTATTTAAACTCTGGAAAATCAGCAAGAAAATCAAACAACCAAGGGTGCAAAGACGATGAACAGAAATTTTCAAAAGAAGACAGATAATGGCCAACAAACATATGAAAAAATGCTCAACATCTCTATCATCAGGGAAATGGCAAATAAAAACTGCAATGAGATATCACTTATCTCCAGTAGAATGCTTTATCAAAAATCCCCAAACATAAATGTTGGCGTGGATGCAGAGAGATAGGAACACTTCTCATCTGCTGGATTGCAAACTGGTCAGCCTCTGTGGAAAGAATATGGAGATACCTTAAAGTGATACAAGTAGATTTACATTTGATCCAGCAATTCCACTACTGGGCATGTACCCAAAAGATCAAATGTCTACAATGGGACATCCACCTGAATGTGTCGAGGTTTAATCACAAAGTGTGGGAAACAACCCAGGGGCCCTCAATACATGAGGTGATTATAAAATGTGGTATATGAATACCATGATACTATTCAGCTTTAAGAACAATGGTGATATAGCCTCTTGTATTGTTCCTGGATAGAGGAACCCATTCTACTAAGTGAAGTATGTCAAGAATGGAAACAAGCACCACATGTACTCACCAGCAAATTGGTATTGACGGATCAACACCTAAGTGGACATATAGGAATAACATTTATCGGGTGTCGGACGGGTGGGAAGGGGGAGGAGGGGATGAGTATATATAAACATAATGAGCGAGATGTGCAATGTTTGGGGGATAGTCACGCTTGAAGCTCTGACTTGAGGGGAGAGGGGAGGCATGGGCAATATATGTAACCTTAACATTTGTACCCCCATAAGATACTGAATAAAAAAAAAATGACAAATCCAAATGTTTTAAAGAAAAATCGGAATTTATCAATCATCATTACTTTTAAATATTTATGCTACAAAAACCAAAGATTGCTACAAAACAGACTGACAGAAGCAAACCTACCCTAGACACTGTGTTCTAAAAACAGACACCTGAAAAGATCAGCCAATACTTTATTAGGTAAAAAATAAGGTACCAAACACCATGAAAATGGCATGAAGTTGCTATTCATTTTATCAAAATAAAAACCCATCGCAGTTAGAATGACCTTAAGGAAAAATAATAAAAAAAACAACAAGATAAAACAGGGTAAGGTCAATATCACAAAATGATTAAAGAGATGGAATAGAACATTCTTCTAAGTCATTAAACTCACTGATATTATACTGAACTCCAGAGCACTTACCATTTTCCTATGCCATTAGAGAATTTAGTGGGTTCACTGAATTGACTGATTTCTTTGTTAATCTATTTACATGGGTTAAGACCCTGACTGACATAAAACACAACCAAAAAATGCCAGACAGAGTGTAATGAAAGACTGAGTGATGTATGGTTTGGGGTACAGCCTATCTAATAAATGTGCTTGGCCAGCAAGAACCCATTGGCAAAGATTTATTATTGGAACAAATACATTCTAAAAAGGATCTAATACAATAAAACTGGCAGTATAAATAAAAACTACTCTAAAATACAGTTCCTTGCCCTGTATTTTGATGATTATATCATAATTATCTTCATGTTTCAAGAATAAATTTTTTGAACAAGTAAAATCAATGAGTATAGTGTACAAATTGCCACTAGTAGCGCAGTTCTTTGATTCATACAAAATAAAATAAAGTTTATATTACTTTAAAACTCTTCAACAACTTTTAAAACATATGTAAAGAGAGGGAAATATTTCTAGGAAATACATTATCAAGAGAAAAGGTAAAAATGAATCACCTACTAGAAGAAATTATCATTGTTTTAGATACATTAATATCAAATTAGTAAAAGTTAAGGGCAGACATAGAAATGATTTTAAATGTTATACCTCCAAGTTCTTTTACATTCAAGATGGCATTCTGGAATGGCACTGCTTTTATACTAAAACCTAAAATTAGAAAACAAAAACATAAGAATTAGCAACTTAACTTTTAAATTAAAATACTTAAGATACTCTCCTTTTTCAGGCAGATTAAGATTACTTTTCATATCTCATATTTATGCTAGAAACACATAATTTCCAAGATAAACTGATAACCCAAAATTATCTTCTACTGTTTTTCAAAACATAGTTGTGTATTGCAGCAATATATAATGCTATTCTCTTCACTTCAAACTATTGCCTATTCTTCATTATATGTCACTCTCAATTTTTATCAATTTTAAGGAAGATATTTTGAAATATAGAGAAATTTCAAAGAAAATATCAAATCTACGAGGACCTTTGCATCTAATTCCAAAAGTTAATGTCTTACAATTTTTTCTCACATATAACTCTGCAACCCTAGAAATTAAGGTACTTAAATTATAACCATTTTATATTCGAATTATATAGTATTTACATTCATGTTTTCTTTAAAGGACATGGTTGATATGCCATACATACATTTTTCTTAAAAGTACAATTATAATTCCCATTTATGCACAGATAATTTTATAATGCATGTGATAAAATATTTGTATTATAAAAATATATTCACAGTATATAGTTCTATGATTAACCATGTATTTAGGACTTAGCTATTACCATTCAAGACAATAAATCCAGTCACAACATATGTGAGTATGCATATACCCATACCCATATACATATGAAATACACACACTGAGTCTTTCTGAAAGGATCCACAAGAAACTGAAACTAGTAATGACCCTCAGGAAAACTGGGGATCTGGAAGTTCTTAAATATGGGGGAGATTTTTTTGTTTTATTTGAATGTTTTGCCATGTGCTTGTATTTCTTTTTGATTAAAAGCCCCACTAATTTTTAAAAAATAATTTATCAGTAGTTTGAGCATACATTTTATTTAAAGTGTTAAGTATTATTTATTAATAACATGTACAATTACAAGCTGAATAAAACTCCCCTTTTCAAGAAATTATCAACAAAGATGGCAACACACAAATACTTTTCATTTAAGGCAAGTTATGATAGGTACCTGGGATAGTGAAAAGAAATATAAAATATGATGTGGATAAGAAAATTCTTTTACATGGCTTTGCTTTGCTTTTTAAAGAAGGAAATCATTATGCACCTTTTTAGTCCAGCCTATATTTTATACTTCTTTGCTGCATGTTTTCTCAGTACTTTAATAATCTATATATTACCTTCCACCTAAGGCAGTATATATTATGTAATGGCTGAAAAATTGACTTTGACTTTGGAGTCAGAAGTAGATTTAAATTCTAGCTCTGTCATTTATTAATTCTGTGACTACGGGCAACCTACACTAGCCTTAGCTTTCTCATCTGTAAAACAGGGATGATAGTATCTACTTCACAGGGTTTGTTAAAAGGATAATACATGCAACGTGTTTATCACAGTGATGAGTACACAATAAGCATACAATATGTGATTGCTAGCATTATGTTTCAATCGATGCTTTTTTTGTTGATAATGTAATTGATATTTTCTGCCTGCCTGAATATATTACAAACTTGTAAGATAAAAATTCTGGGTGCTCATTTATTAATCTAAATGCTTAGTTGGAGCTGCAAAAGTTATTACTGAATGGTAAGTACCTTTGTTGGAGGGACAGAGGTGTCAACAGCTGAAATCTGCTGCACAGAAAGCACAGAAAATGTTCATTGGTCCCTCTAAGAATCTTCCAAAACATACCCTTCTTTTCATAGGTTTAATGCAGATCGACACTGTCAGCACAAGCATTATGGTTAATGGTGGGTGAAGTCGCTGAATCTTAGTAAAATATCATGAGGAAAGAGGAGGCAGTCCCATGTGGCTGAGACAGTGGCATGTACCTGGGCCTGCAGGAAAGCCTCTCCAGGTGTCTGGCCTCTGGGAAATTAAAGAAAATCAGTGCCAATCATAATACTCTTGCTGGCACCAAAATTTGCCTGCAGGAGACTTGGATGCTTCAATGTATCTACCTACCTCATATGGGTGTTCTATGGATTAAAAGGCAGTAATTGTGAAATCCTGGAAAAGAAACACCCTCTCCAAATGCTAAATAGTCTATTGGTGGCTATGTTTGGGACAACTAAAGTATGGACTTTCTAGAGAAGTAGGACAGGCATGGGCCCCAATTTTCAAAAGGAAACAGTTATGGAGCACACCAGCAATGTTTAATCTGCTTTGATTCTTAAAAGCTGACAATATGCAAGTACTCAAAGGGGAGTAATATCCTTCCAGAAATGCTGCACCTACATGTGAAATACAACTGTTGAACTTTATTAACCCAACAGGCAGATTATATCACTGGTACTGTCTTTAAATCCTTGCAGAGACTTCATTATTAGTTGATTACAAAAATGTCCTCAAATGTTCACACTAAGCAAAGTAACCTAGCAAAGTTATTTATAGGTATATAAATGTTTTTGCAGAATACTCATAAATGTTTTCTCCCCAAATAGAACACGAGTGGCTAGATTTATACTGCAAAGATACATATAGCTGTCCATACTGCTGTCTCCATATTATTTTTACAGTACAGCTGTAGTAATTAATGTTCAGAGGACAAACTCTAGATAATTGAAAAATAAGAAAATGTCCTACTCGTGGTAGAGAAACAATTTTTTTCTGTTTTATTCATTCCAAACACTTGTAAGGATTAAATGAAACTAAAAATTTAAGGCCATACTTTCAATTCACTTGAAAGGCAACCAAGAAAAGTGACTATCAGATTATATTTTATTCATTTACATTAGTTGAATGAGGCCAGGGGAAAATTAATATAATATTAATATTTAGTAGGGATACAAAGGTCAAACCATCACAATACCTTTCTCAAAATGTTGCTCTGAGGAATAAAAGCTACCACGTAGCATGGGCCCTAGGAGTAAGAACTCCTGGGTTCAAATTCTTGCTCTTTCATTTATTAACTGTTTGACTTTAAGTAAGTTATTTTGTTAGCCTTCTCTGGTATCTTTGTACTAGGCTGATTTTTTCTGAGTTCTTGTTCTTCCAGCACTCAGTACTTCTCCTGTGTGATTTACAGAATTTTAACTACATAGCGGTTTATTATTTATGTCTATCTCCCAGCTGGACTGCAAGGATGCATAATGGAGAAACCGTGTACAGTATATTCTGTATGTCAGTGCTTGGCACATAATAGGATCTCAATATTGTTTAAAGATCTATGCTAAGGATTTATATCTATTTCCTAATTTAGTTGTTAAAAACAATTCTTAAGTAATGCTGGTACTACTGTCCTATTAAGAAACTGAGGTTCAGGGGGGTAAAGTACCTTGCCAAAGGTACTAAGTGCTATATTCAAAACCTGAACCTAGGTCTCATCACCAGAGCCCTACACTACAGGGCTGCATAAACCAACAAGCTGATAGATTCACACTATTTTGTGCAATTTTGAGCCTAAATGCTAGTGGAACTGACAGGGCAAATGTACATGGCGCCTAATAACCCACTAATTTACTTCTTCTTCCTGTTTAGAAATAAACCAACACAAGAAACCCAAATAAGTGTTCTCAGGTCTATATAACATTGCTTATTAATGGGATAGAAATTATAGCATGAGTTTAGAATATACTTTTTTATAGAAATTATTAATCAAATCAGGAATCTAGAAGGGAAGGGAAAATGTCCAACTGACTCAGCCACCACGGTATGATTGCTTTCTTGCTTTTTCAAACAGTAGACGTCCTCTGATGCTCTTCACAGGGAGCCAGTCCTGATGTGACAAGGCGTGGTCCTAGGAGTCCCAGCCATAGCTCATAGACTCTCCAGCCATATATATATTATGAGTGGACTAGATTAGCTCTTCGGGGTTTCCTCTGAAATTAAGATTCCATTATTTATATTAAACAAGGAGGAGGAAATAACAGTAACCACTGAGTCGATCATCAATGGCCTCTATTTGGCTGCAGGCCTCATGGGTAGGTCTCCCCAGGCTCCATTCAAACAATCTGATGGCTGAAGCCTAAGTTACACAGTCATTTTTTCCTGGCCTATCTAAGCTACATTAGCAAGACTGAAACCTCCCCTAAGATTTAACCCCACAAATTTTAATAAATACGTGACTTAGTAACTCTTTGGGGAAATAATTGTTTGCACAGCATTTTAGTCTTTGTTTTGCAATGCTTAAATCCAACAAAACCTGTAATACGGGGAAGATGGATTTGAAATTTCTCATGCAGGGAAGGCATTCCTGGAATTGTAACAAAATTAGTTTTGGGAGGAAGGTTAGTCTATTTTTATTCATTGTGTGGAACACATGAGTATTTCACTTGGACCTACAGACTGAACCCTCCTCCCCACCTCTACCAAGTCTACACACATGCACACAGATACTTGATGTGTGCTTCTGAAATTCCTGGGTCACTCTAAGAATTGCTGAAGGGAAAAACATTCCACAGATCTGGTGGCCTTAACCTGGACCAAGGGCATGATTTACACCACGCAGTTTTGTGATGTTTGGACAACAGTTTTACAAAATTCTTTTACATATGATTTCAACATCATAAAAGCAAATTTAATCTACTGGCATTTATAAACACAATCCTTTGATACCAAAATCTGCCTTTTTACTTGTTTTTCTTGTTAACATATATGCAGCCAATACTAAAGTTAAATGCCTCTTTCAGATTTTCATGAACTTTTTCTATATTTCTTTTAAATTGTCATCTTTTTCTATTTTAACTGAATAATATACTACTTGCCAATTTTTCAAATACAGTAACATATATCCCTAGAAGATATTTTCAACCTTTTTTCATTCAAAGTGTTCAGTTTTACCTAGGTTGTTCTACATGTTGCATCAATATATTATCCTAAGGTCTTTAGATTTCATTCCTCTGGTTTAAAAAGGAAAAAAAAGTGGGGGGAATACTTGTGTAATCTACAGTTAACAATCCCTCTTATCAACAAACTCCTTTGCATATACAGTCAAGGAATTCACTCTGGACAGAGTTCACT